GAGGAGGAAGACGTAATGGGAGGGGGGAGAGAAGGAGGAGGTGGTGAGGAGGATAAGGAGATGGGTAGGATAGGAGGAGATGGGGAGGAGGTGGGGAGGGCAGTATACACTCCCAGGGGCAAGTTGTCAATAAAATCGTGAGTTATGATTGTGTGGGAACGACACTAGTCTGTGAGAGGAAGGGGAGTGGGGGAGACGGGGAGGGAGGAGTGGGAGGAGAGGAGGGTGTGGGGAGACGGGGAGGAGAGGGGAAGGAGACGGGAAGGAGAGGAGGGAGTGGGGAGGAGGGAGGAGTGGGGAGGCGGGGGGAAGGAGGATTAAGAGAGGAAGGAGAAGGACAGTGGAAAGAGGAGTAGGAGAGGGAGGAAGAGAAGTAGGTGGGGAGAAGAGAGGGGGACAAAAGCAAATGAGAATTGGGAGAGAGTTAAATAAAAGAAGGAAGTTACAAAAATATTGGAAGAATGGAGGAATGGAGAGGGAGAAAAGGGGTGAGATGTAAGAGAGGGAGGAAGAAAAGAAGGAGAAGATAAAGGAGAGAGAAGGAGAGAGATGTAGAAGCAGAGATGAACAGACAGACAGGGGAAATTAAAGAGACAGACAGACTAGAAACACCTGTAATTTTAACACCTGGTAATTTACATAACAACACTACACTTAGGAAGAAGTGTTGCCATAGTTACCATACTTATGACCTCAACCTTTGATCTTGACCTCGACCTTTGACCTTGACCTCGACCTTTGACCTTGACCTCGACGTTAGGACCTCTATAGACTCATCAGCTGAAAGAGGTTGTTAAGGTTTTTTTTATTTATTTATTTATTTATGTATGTATGTATGTATGTATGTAAGTATGTATGTATGTACTATGTCTCTAAATACGTTTAGTGAGACATTAAACAAAATAATAATAATAACAATAATATTAATAATAATAATAATAATAATAATAATAATAATAATAATAATAATAATAATAATAATAATAATAATATTAATAATAATATTAATAAATAATAATAATAATAATAATAATAATAATAATAATATTAATAATAATAATAATAATATTTATAACAATAATAATAATAATAATAATAATAATAACAAGAATAATAACAATAATAATAATAATAACAACAATAATAATAATAAATTATTAATAATAATAATAATAATAATAATACTGATAATAATAATAATAATAATAATAATAATAATAATAATAATAATAATAATAATAATAATAATAATAATAATAATAATAATAATAATAATAATAATAATAATAACAATAATAATAATAATAATAATAATAACAATAATAATAATAATAATAATAATAATAATAATAATAATAATAATAATAATAATAATAAAAATACCACGAATATTACTAAGATATATTATTGAGTGAGATAATTACAGTCACTAATATATATATATATATATATATATATATATATATATATATATATATATATATATATATATATATATATATATATATATATATTTTTAATAAGAGAAGACGTGTAATAATAACAATAATAACGCGGGTGTAATAGACTATGTTAGCTGGTCCATTAGGTCGAGTGTAGTGTAATAACACCTGTCTCATACAGAGCAACAGTTGTGCCCGAATCACCAGTAATAATAACAGCTCACCTCGATAATGTCTATGGTCTGTTCTCATTATATTTAACTCTTAAATATATTCTAAATTAATTATTGTTTTTTCTCGGTGTTTGGTTTGGCTTTGAGTTTGTTTTATGGTGTTTGTGTTTGTTGTTTTAATTTTGGGTGTTTTAGAGGTATGGTTATGTAATGGGGAGGAAGGTTTAGGATACGTGTGTTAGGATATACACACATACTGTACGTATATACACGCTTACATAGAGGTACACATACACATAACCGTACACAGGCATAAATACATAAATACACACACACACACACGTAACTACATAATAATATACACACACACACACACAACCCTATGCACTAACACACACACGTACATACACACATACTCAAACACAACTATACAGACATACTTACATACACAAAACGTACACACATAAATACACACATGACACACGTAATACACACACACACATACACACGCACAACCATACAGGCACAACAACACGCACACATAAATACACACATACACACACACACGTACATACACACGTACATACACAGCCCGAGGCAGCTCTGGGTGTACAGTAATTACCAATGTATAGTGAGCTGGTCTGCTACTGGTGTACCCTTTCATGTTTAAAATTAATTTGACTCGTGAATTTCTACTTTATTGTGTTTTATTGTGTTTTATTGTGTTTTATTGTGTTTTGTTGTGTTTTATTGTGTTTTGTTGTGAATTATTGTGTTTTGTTGTGTTTTATTGTTTATTATTGTGAATTATTGTATTTTATTGTGTTTTTTATTGTGTTTTGTTGTGTGTTTTGTTGTGTTTTTATTGTGTTTTTGTTGTGTTTTTATTGTGTTTTGTTGTGTTTTTATTGTGTTTTGTTGTGTTTTATTGTGTTTGTTGTGTTTTATTGTGTTTTGTTGTGTTTTATTGTGTTTTGTTGTGTTTTATTGTGTTTTGTTGTGTTTTATTGTGTTTTATTGTGTTTTGTTGTGTTTTATTGTGTTTTGTTGTGTTTTATTGTGTTTTGTTGTGTTTTATTGTGTTTTGTTGTGTTTTATTGTGTTTTTATGTGTGTACAGTACTATATGTTGTTGTAATTAAACAGCTGATTTTTTGGCGGGAAAATGTGAAACAGTAACAAACAAGAATGAAGAGAACCCTCCTCCCCCTAACCTTTTCACCCTCCCAGCACCCTAACCTCTCCTACCATCCCCCACCCTCTCCTCCATCCCTACCATTCCCATCCTCCTATCCCATCCCACCCTCCTACCTCCCTCACCCTCCTGTCCCTCCCTACCCTCCTGTCCTCCCTTACCTTCTCCCTGTCCCTCCTTACCCTCCCTGTCCCTCCTTACCCACCTGTCCCTCCCCACCCTCCCTATCCTCCTTACCCTCCCCACCCTCCTGTCCCTCCTTACCCTCTGTCCTCCCTTATCCTCCCTTTACCCTCCCCACCCTCCTGTCCCCACTCTCCCTCTCCCCCTCCCTCTCCCTCCCCACCTCCCTATCCCTCCCTACCCTCCCTGTCCCTCCCCCACCTCCTGTCCCACTCCCCTCTCCCACCTCCCTATCCTCCCTACCCTCCCCATCCTCCTTTACCTCCCTCTCCCCCTCCCCTCCCTCTCCCACCCTCCCTACCTCCCTTACCCTCCCTATCCCTCCTTTACCTCCCCACCTCCTGTCCCTCCCTACCCTCTGTCCCTCCCCTTATCCCTCCCTTACCCTCCCCACCTCCCCTGTCCCTACTCTACCCTCTCCCACCCTCCCCACTCCTCCTTACCTCCCTCGTCCCTCCCCACCTCCTCCCTGTCCCTCCCTTATCTCCCCTGTCCTCCCCTACCTCCTGTCCCTCCCTGTCCCTCCCTTATCCTCCCCACCCTCCCCCACCCTCCTACCCTCCCCTACCCCCCTCCCTACCTCCTACCTCCGTCCCTCCCTGTCCCTCCCTTACCCTCCTGTCCCTCCCTTATCCCTCCCCACCTCCCCTACCCTCCCCTTCTCCCCACCCTCCCACCTCCCCACCCTCCCCACCCTCCCCTACCCTCTACCCTCCCCACTCCTCCCTATCGCTGGACAAATGAAACTAAGCTACCAGCTGTTAATTTCACCAGCGTAATAAAATTCTCGCCTCATCCCGACACATGGTGAAAATAACCCAACTTTTTTTCTTCTTTCTTTTTTATTACATAACGTTTTGGGTATTATTTGTTAGGCTTTTATTATTATTATTATTATTGACTATTTTAATTATGTTTGACTGAGCATGGTGAGGCGTCATACAGCACCTTGGGCGAATTACTTTAAAAAAAAATATCAGTGGGATGAAATTGAGAGGGGAGAGGGGTTGTTTCTTGTCTGCCCAGTCCTCTCTACTTCAACTAACAAAGAAAACAATTATATGAAGTGTCATCTTTTAATGGTCAATGAAAGTAAGATTACTGTATGTATGTGTGTGTGTGTGTGTGTGTGTGTGTGTGTGTGTGTGTGTGTGTGTGTGTGTGTGTGTGTGTGTGTGTGTGTGTGTGTGTGTGTGTGTGTGTGTGTGTGTGTGTGTGTGTGTGTGTGTGTGTGTGTGTGTGTGTGTGTGTGTGTGTGTGTGTGTGTGTACATCCTCTATTCTGTTGCCTTGGGAATGAGAGAGAGAGGGGGGAGGGGGACGGGTTGGTAGGAGGAGAGAGAGAGGGGGGAGGTGGACGGGGTGGTAGAGGAGAGAGAGAGTGAGAGTCAGAAAGTGAGAGAGTGAAAGATGGGAGAAAGAATGGGAAGATTTGAGAGAGAGAGATAGAGACAGTCAGACAGTCAGACAGAGAGACAGAGAGACAGACAGACAGTATACATTAGGTTCTAGCATCACCAGTTAAAAGATAAAATAAAAATAAAAATAAATTAAAGAAAAAAATCAAAATAACTTAATAATATTTGATAATTTATTTGAATGAGTTTTAAGAGAATGAATTAAATACGTCCCCTCACATCATAGGTAAAGAACATATGAGAATTTCTTATTGAACTTAAGTGAATCAGATGCATCCTTATAACACCACTGAGAGAGGGAGGGAGGGAGGGAATGAGTCAGGGAGAAGGTAGGTAGGAAGGGAGAAGGGAGGGAATGAGAGGGGGGAGGGGAGGGAAGGAAGGAGGGAAAGAGGAAATAAAAGGGGAGGGGGACTGAGGGAGGGAAGGTAGAAGGGAGGAAGGGAGGGTTGTAAGGGAGATTAGTTACGATGCTCTGAGACTGGTGGTTCACAGGCCCGGGGAGAGCACGTGTTATTATTACCACCATTCATCTTGCTAGTACGCCATAATGCAACCTGGGGAATATTTATTATTTCATTAGTATTGTAGGCTGAAGCTGGCCCTGTATACCACTACTACCACCACTACCACCACTACCACTGATACTACTACCACCACTACCACCACCACCACCACTGATACTGCTACCACCACTACCACCACCACTGATACTGCTACCATCACTACCACCACCATCACTGATACTGCTACCACCACTACCACCACATCACTGATACTGCTACCACCACCACCACCATCACTGACACCACCACCACCACCATCACTGATACTGCTACCACCACTACCACCACCATCACTGCTACCACCACTACCACCACCATCACTGATACTGCTACCACCACTACCACCACCATCACTGATACTGCTACCACCACTACCACCACCATCACTGATACTGCTACCACCACTACCACCACCATCACTGATACTGCTACCACCACTACCACCACCATCACCGATACTGCTACCACCACTACCACCACACCATCACTGATACTGCTACCACCACTACCACCACCATCACTGATACTGCTACCACTACTACCACCACCATCACTGATACTGCTACCACCACTACCACCACCATCACTGATACTGCTACCACCACTACCACCACCATCACTGATACTGCTACCACCACTACCACCACACCATCACTGATACTGCTACCAATAACTACCACCACCATTGATACTGCTACCACCACTACCACCACCATCACTGATACTGCTACCACCACTCACCACCACCATCACCGATACTGCTACCACCACTACCACCACCATCACTGATACTGCTACACCACTACCACCACTACCACCACCATCTCTCTCTCTCTCTCTCTCTCTCTCTCTCTCTCTCTCTCTCTCTCTCTCTCTCTCTCTTGTGGTGCTTGATAGTGAAGATGGGGAATAGGAAGGACGGGAGGAAGGGAGATATGGATGAGAAGGAGGGAGGGAAGAGGAGAGAGAAGGATGGTGAAGGAGGCACAAGGATGGAGGATGGTGTGTGATGAAGAAGATGTTGAGTGGGTGTGATGTATGGTGAGTGGGTGTGATGTATGGTGAGCGGGTGTGATGTATGGTGAGTGGGTGTGATGTATGGTGAGTGGGTGTGATGTATTGTGAGCGGGTGTGATGTATGGTGAGTGGGTGTGATGTATGGTGAGTGGGCGTGATGTATAGTGTCTGGACGTGATGTACAGTGTCTGGGCGTGATGTACAGTATCTGGGCGTGATGTACAGTGCCTGGGCGTGATGTACAGTGTCTGGGTGTGATATACAGTGTCTGGGCGTGATGTACAGTGTCTGGGTGTGATGTACAGTACACTACCTCATCATAATGTACGGTGTGCGAGCATCAAATACTTTAGTGTGGGCGTCACGTACACAACGTCACCATAATTTTCAGTGTGTGTGTGTGTGTGTGATGTACAGTGTGTGTTGGAGTCATATACATTAGTGTGGGCGGCATAATGTACAACTCGTGGGCATAATGTACAACTCGTGGGCATAATGTACAACTCGTGGGCATAATGTACAACTCGTGGGCATAATGTACAACTCGTGGGCGTAATGTACAACTCGTGGGCATAATGTACAACTCGTGGGCATAATGTACAACTCGTGGGCATAATGTACTACTCGTGGGCGTAATGTACAACTCGTGGGCATAATGTACAACTCATAGGCGTAATGTACAGTACTACCTCCACTCATCTCTGTACATATACCCAGAGTGTTCCAATTCTCGCTGGGTTTTCCGCAATATTACACGCGAGATGAAATTATATTCAGAATGGATTAAAATGTAAATGACTGTAATTTGATTTTCATATGCAAATTTAGGCCCATATGCAAATGAGGCTCCAATTTTTTTTCAACTCTTCCCGAGAGATTTGTAGTAGTGAAAAAATAATCAGTGAAGGAAGTTAAGAATTGTATGAAATATATTTTGAAAAAAATTTTGAGTTGGATTTTATTTTTTATGATTTTAATGTGAAGATAATAGTGCCTTTATTAATGCGGTATTTTAGTAGTAATAGTGTAGATATTGACTATGAGGCAACAGTCACTGAATGCCGCAAAGATCTGCGGCTCAACTAACTCAACACAGCTAGGATAGCTACTTATGTATTAGGATATTTAATATTAAGGTAATAAAATGGTGGCGAAGGTAAGGCTATTGGGGGAGGCTGGAGGCCATTTAAAAAAAAATAGTAGTAGTAGTAGTAGTACGGTAGGCCAGTAGAAGGTTTGTCCTCCCAATACGTGTGTGGCTCTTCCTATGATGTCGATCACGCGATGGTGTGCAAGAAAGGGGGCTTCGTATGCATGAGGCATGACGCATTAAGGGATCTCACAGCAAATATGTTGAAGGAAATCTGCCGTGATGTCAGGGTAGAACCGACCCTCCTTCCATTGGACGGTGAGAATTTCCAACATAGAACTTCAAAAACATCCAATGAAGCCCGTGTGGACGTCAGTGCTCGAGGATTCTGGACGTGGGGACAGCGAGCCTTCTTCGACATCAGGATTTTTTATCCCATGGCCGCATTTCACCGTAACTTAGCTCTCGATGCTGCACACAGGAGGAACGAGAACGACAAGATAAGGGCATACGGGGAGAGAATTCAGAACGTTGATCAAGGCAGCTTCACTCCTCTGGTGTTCACAACTTCTGGTGGGATGGGACCAAGTGCAAGATGCCTCTACACCAGACTCGCGGAGGTGCTATCCGAACAGAAGCAGCAGCCCAGAAGTTATGTTACAGCCTGGATGAGATGTCGACTGTCCTTCTCTCTCCTTCGGTCGGCTTTGCTCTGCCTCAGGGGAACGAGAGCATCGGCCCCAAAGCCGACAACAGCTGCAGAAATTGGCTATGAGGCTACAGTCACTGAATGCCGCATGGATCTGCGGCTCAACCAACTCAACACAGCTAGGATAGCTACTTATGTATTAAGATGTTTAATTTTAAGGTAATAAAATGGCGGCGAAGGTGTGGCTATTGGGGGAGGATGGAGGCCATAAAAAAGTAGTAGTAGTAGTAATAGTATCGGTGTTTTATTAGTATTATTATTATTATTATTATTATTATTATTATTATTATTATTATATTATTATTTTTATTATTATTTTATATTGTTGTTGTTTTTATTATTATCCATATCATCATTTTAATAGTTACAAGTATTATTATTATTATCATCATCATTGTTTACCACTTCTCTTTCACTGAAGTTTTTTTCCTTATATTTTTTCCTGCTCTCACTCATTATTTATTTCCCTTTATTTTAACACCCTTTTCCTTTTCTCCTCCTCCCCCCCTCTCTCTCTCTCTCTCCGAATCACGCTGTACCTACAAATGCTCGCCTTAATTTACCCACGAATAATAATAATAATAAGTACAATTATCGATTTCAGTCGTTATTACATACAAAACACACACACACACACACACACACACACACACACACACACACACACACATACACACACACAAATCATTTCAGTCGATTACAATACACACACACACACACACACACACACAAAAAAAAAAAAAAGAAAAACACAATCACCTACACATAAAAATATACAATTTAGACCCAAAAGGTAAAATAATGCATTAGACCCTCCCCTAAAAAACTAGATATAGACCGTTCTAGCCCCGAGGCCAATTAATTCGTGTTCTCCCACCTACAAACGTCCAATCACCATTTTATTAAACTCCGTAAATGGTGCTGGCATTTTTTCAATTTCAGGGGGTGAATTGGTTAGGGTTAGGGGGTTAGGGTTGGGTGGGGTTTTTGGGGGCAGGGGTAGAGTGGGGTGGGGTTTTTGGGGGGGGCGGGGTAGAGGTAAGTTGTGGGGGTTTGGGGGGGAGTGGGGTGGGTTTTTGGGGGTAGGTGGGGGTGGGGTTTTGGGGAGGTAAGGGGTTCTGAGGGGGGGTTTGGGGGTGGGAATGGGGTTCTGGGGATAGGTGTGGGGTGGGGTTACTACAGGGGGGTTGTTTCTGGGGTGATAGGATGGAATGGGTTGTATTGCAGGTTTCTATGGGGTGGGGTGGGGTGGGGTGGAGTGGGGTTGTACTATGGGAGGAGGTTCTGGGGAGGCTGCAGGGGTAATGAATGGGGGTGGATGGGGGGATGGGGGTGGGGTGTCCATAGTAATGATTGTTCAGATTGGAAATGAGTTAGAGGTAATTTAATCATTTTTGGCTCCAGGTGTGAGTCAGGATTCGTTGATGACTGTTGTAATGAGTGTGAGAGAGAGAGAGAGAGAGATTGTGTGTGTGAGTGAGATTATATGAAACAAATTTTCTCTCTCTCTCTCTCTCTCTCTCTCTCTCTCTCCCTCTCTGCCTTCCTCCACCACTTCAATAAAACAATACAATATAGACAACGTTAACTGGTACTTTTTTAGGTCATGACGTCACACTCCAGATCTGGCTGATGGCTGAAAGACCTATTGTAATTGGTGGAGCTAAGTGTGTGTGTGTGTGTGTGTGTGTGTGATAGAGAGACAGAGAGATAGTTTTTAGCTTAACAAATTTATTGGCAAAGCTTAAAGTACAGTTTGTCTATTCAGTCAGGTCTTTACACTGAGGGTGGTATCACTGCTCACTGCCACGCAGGACAGAGGTTCATACACAGTAGAAGTCATATTTTATTTGAGAGTGTGGGATGGCAGCAAATTTTGGATAAACAGCAACAATGTCCTCAAGCACTCCTGAGTCAATGTAGTAATTACATAGTTGATGATACAATAAGCCAGGTGGCCTGAAGTCTTTGATAGTGTCACATTCAATAATATAGTGTTCAAGTGTATGTTTTAAAGGTTTATCACAAAGTTTACATGGGGGAGAGATGATGAGTGAGAAAGAGAGACAGGGAAGAGGGAAGAGAGATTGTGAAAGCGAATGAAAGACATTAGAATAAAAGTACAATAACCTAAACCATAACTCTCTCTCTCTCTCTCTCTATACCTATAAAAAACGCAAAATCAGCTGGTATTGCGCGGGGGGGGGGCGTTCCACATCCCGCCAAATATTCGCTCCATAAATTTCCCGCCTCGCGAAATTTTTTGTCCCGGGAAAACACCTGGTGTGTGATGACTGATTTGTTGCCTTGTTTTGTGATTCAGTTCTTGTTTGTTCGTTTGTTTGGGTGTTTGTGGTTGTTGTGTGCGTGTATGTGTGGGTGTGTGTGTGAGAGAGAGAGAGAGAGAGAGAGTTTCTATGTGTGTGTGTGTAAGAGAGAGTTTTCGTAAGAGAGTGAAAGATAGAGAGAATAAGAAATATATATATACAGTGTGTGTGTGTGTGTGTGTGTGTGTGTGTGAGTGTGTGTGTGTGTGTGTGTGTGTTAAAGAGCATTACAACTAGTCATATATACGTATCTATGTATTATCATGCATCTATCTTTATGAATATGTATACTAAAACATGAATACACACACATATGTTAATTATCCATAATAATAATAAAAAAACTTACTAATCATCCAACAAATTAAGATTCACTAATTAAGTAAATTACATTAAGCTCGTCACCCCCATTAACTATCTCTTTATGACTCACCAATTATTACTTTTTTTGCCTCCGAAGAAAATTTTTGTTACCTGTCTAAAAGCAATTTACCTGTCTTAATTAGATCTCTCATTAGCGGAGCGACGCCTGAAGCTCATTTAGGTGATGGTACAGGGAAAGGTAAGTTTGGTGGGAGGTCATGGTGAAAGTTTCCTCCTCTCTAGTATTAGTATTATGTTTAGAGAAAGTTAGAGAAAGTAAGTGTAGTCGTGGAAGTGATAATCATGATGGGTACTTTCCCTTTAGAAAGTACCACAGTAAACTTGACCTTAGTAGCTTTGGTAAGTTGTTTTATTTGAGGTTTATTGATACTTTTCGCTGGAGAAAGTGCCAGCCTCCTCGTCGTGAGAGTAATATTGCGATGGATACTTTCTCTGGAGAAAGTAAAGTTACAATATTGAATGCAATAGCAAAAGTTTTACCCTTGAGTAAGTAGTTTCCTATGAGTTAAACTGAAACTTTCGCTGGAGAAAATACTTTTGTTGTTCTAGAAGTAATAATACACGCTGATGACCCACTCTCTCTCTCTCTCTCTCTCTCTCTCTCTCTCTCTCTCTCTCACCAACATCATCCCTCACATCCCATTATTTACATACACCCTCCCCTCTTCCCCACCTCCCCTGCCCTCCTCCACCCTCCCCCCTCCCCTCACTCACCCCCCACCCCAGCCAACCCCAATATCGCCACTAAACTTTTAAGATCCATCAAAGTTTTTAATGCATCCTAAAATTTTTCAATAAAGCAAATTTTCTTTACTAATTTCTGATATAAAAATGGTTTATGTTTGTGAGAATTGTTGGTGTTTGTGGTGGGGGTTGTTGGGAGCGGTGGGGGGGGTGGTGTTGGGGGCTGTGGTGGGGGTTGTTGTGTGTGGTGGGGGTTGTTGTGGTGGGGGTTGTTGGGGCTGTGGTGGGGTTGTTGGGGGCTGTGGTGGGGGTTGTTGGGGGTGGTGGGGGTTGATGGGGGCTGTGGTGGGGGGTGGTGGGGGTGTTGGGGCTGTGGTGGGGCTGGATGTGGTGGGGGCTGGGGGGGGTGTGGGGGGCTGATGGGGGGTGGTGGGGCTGTGGGGGGTCGGGGGCTGTGGGGGGCTGTGGTGGGGCTGTTGGGGGGTTGGGGGTTGTTGGGGGCTGTGGTGGGGGGCTGATGGGGGCTGTGGTGGGGACTGTGGTGGGGTTAGGGGCTGTTGGGGGCTGTTGGTGGGGGCTGTTGGGGACTGTGGTGGGGGTTGTTGGGGGGTGGGGGGTTGATGGGTGGGGGGCTGTGGTGGGGTTGTTGGGGCTGTGGTGGGGGGTTGTTGGGGGCTGTGGTGGGGGTTGTTGGGGGCGTGGTGGGGGCTGTGGGGGCTGTGGTTGGGGGGTGGGGGCTGTGGTGGGGGATGTTGGGGCTGAGTTGGGGGCTGTGGTGGGGGGTTGTTGGGGACTGTGGTGGGGGGTTGTTGGGGCTGAGTTGGGGGCAGGTGGGGGTTGTTGGGGATTGGGGGTTGTTGGGGCTGTGGTGGGGTTGTTGGGGCTGTGGTGGGGGTTGATGGGGGCTATGGTGGGGGACTGTGGTGGGGCTGTTGGGGGCTGTGGTGGGGGTGGTGGGGGCTGTGGTGGGGGTTGTGTGGGGTGGGGGTGGGGGTAATGGGGTGGTGGTTGGGGCTGTGTGTGGGGTTGTTGGGGGCTGTGGTGGGGGATTGTTGGGGACTGTGGTGGGGGGTTGTTGGGGGCTGAGTTGGGGCTGTGTGGGGGTTGGGGACTGTGGTGGGGGTTGTTGGGGGGTGGTGGGGTTGTTGGGGCCGTGGTTGCATGGGGTGGTGGGGACTGTGGTGGGTTGTTGGGGCTGGTGTGTTGGGGCCGTGGGGTTGTTGTGGGGTTGTAAATGTGGTGGGGGGGGTTGATGTGGGGTGTGGGGCTGGGGGCTGTGTGGGGGTTGTTGGGGCTGTGGTGGGGGGTTGTTGGGGGGTGGGGTGGGGTTGTTGGGGGGCTGTGGTGGGGGTTGTTGGGGGCTGTTGTGTGGGTTGGTGGGGTTGTTGGGGGCTGTGGTGGCTGGGGGGGGTTGTTGGGGGGTGTGTTGGGGGCTGTTGGGGCTGTGGTGGGGTTGTTGGGGGCTGTGGTGGGGCTGGGGGTTATTGAGTGTGGGTTGTTGGGGGTGTGGTGTGTTTTATGTGTGGTTGGGGGTTGGTGGTGATGGAGTGATTTTGAACGGTGAGGGATCGGGGCGGTTTGTATAGATTCTTGTCAATAATAATAATAATAATAATAATAATATTAATATTAACAACAACAACAACAACAACAACAACAACAACAACAACAACCGTATACCAACTTAGAAAATAATAAACACGTTCCCTACAAACCCACCTAAACCAAACCCGAACCCAAATACACGAAACCCGAACCCGAATCCTTGTGTCCTGAACCCCACCACCACCACCTACAACCACCACCATCACCTACCACCACCACCCTATCACCACACACACACACACACACACACACACACACACACACACACACACACGCACACACACACAATAACTGCAATATACCTTTTCTCTATCGTATTAAATGTGTCGGGAAAGGTGAATCATGATCGCCACTGGTCCATTCAGTCACTTTTATCTGGTGGGGAAAGTGACGAAAGTTATCATATTCCCACGGTATTGAGAATGGTATCGCGAAGGTGGGGGTGGGCTGGGGTCGGGTAGGGGTAGGGTGGGGTGGGGCAGGGGTGGGGTGGGGTAAGGGGAGAGGTGGTCATTCTTCGCCTGTTGCCAAATATACGGTAATTGAAAATGACCTTATCTCTGCCAACACCGCCTCCTCCTCCTCCTCCTCTTATATTGTTGCCACACGATGGTCATGGAGTTGTCTTTCTATGGCTTTATTTTCCATGCTCTCTCTCTCTCTCTCTCTCTCTCTCTCTCTCACCTAATAACATTAATAAAATAATAAGAAAAAAGGATAATCCAAAAAATGAAGAAAAAATATTAAAAAAATATATAAAAGGACTGAAATAAAAAATAAATAAATAAGAAAAAATTATACGAAATATACGATTTTAAAATATAAATAAAAACGTTAAGCCCAAAAAATTTTCACCTCAAATTCTAAAAAGAAAAATCTCCAAATCTCCAGAAAATCCCCGCCAAAAAATCCCTCAAAATAAAAAAGAACCCCCCGAAAAAAGAACTCAAAACTAATTAAAGTTCAAAACAATAAACACTAAAAAAAAATGTCAAATTACCACATTACAACTAGAACCCCAGGGAAACCTCTCCAATAAGGACCTCCAACTCCAAAAAACTACAAGAGCCTTCAACTCCAATAAGACCCTCCACCTCCAAGACCTCCAACAAGAACCTCCACCTCCAAGACCTCCAATAAGAACCTCCACCTCCAAGACCTCCAATAAGAACCTCCACCTCCAAGACCTCCAACAAGAACCTCCACCTCCAAGACCTCCAATAAGAACCTCCACCTCCAAGACCTCCAACAAGAACCTCCACCTCCAAGACCTCCAACAAGAACCTCCACCTCCAAGACCTCCAACAAGAACCTCCACCTCCAAAACCTCCAACAAGAACCTCCACCTCCAAGACCTCCAACAAGAACCTCCACCTCCAAGACCTCCAATAAGAGCACATGAGTAAGAAGTATATAACAAAATGATGAAGAAGAAGAAGAAGAAGAAGGTTATCACTTAAGGGGTGTAGTATTCACCCTTCAACCTCAAGGTACAACTTGGTCCTCTCCTCCGTTATCTGTTCAAACTTTTTTGGAGGGGGACTTTAAACAGGCAAGACAAACGGGGCTGGCACTAACGGATGGCCCAACAGGGAAGACCCACCCACCTGTCTTGTGAAATATGGCTCCCCTGTTAACAGTGTGTGGGGGGAATTGTGGTAGTGGTGGTGAAGGAGGGTGGTAGGTGGAGGAATTGTGGTGGGGAGGGATTTTGGTGATGGGGAAGGGGTAAGAAGGTGAGGACTTTGGTAATTGTGGTAGGGAAGATTGTGGTAGTTGCGGAAGGGGTAATTATGGTAGTTGTGGTAAAGGAAATTGTGGTAATTGTTGTGGCGTGGGGGAATAATAACACTCACTAATTTTCACACACACACACACACACACACACACACACCTAACGACATACTGTACCTCTTCCCTCACCACCCCCCACTCACTCCCCACTATCCCTTCCCCACCACCCCTTCCTCAACAATCCCCATTCCCTCCCCACCATCGCTTCCCCAACAATCCCCATTCTCCCTACTACCCCTTCCCAACAATTCCACCATTCTCTTCCCACCACCATCCCTTCCCCAACAACCCCCACCTCCCCACCACCCATTCCCCACTATCCCTATCCCCAACAAATCCCCCTCTCCCCACCATCCCCCTCCCCTCCTCCCCGTGTTGATGTGGTTGTCCTTCCTCACGGTTTGTATTCCCCACC